CCCACATCACCATCACCACCACCATCACAACACTTCGCAACTCTACTCTATCGGGGATTTGGCTATGGTCCAGTTACTCTTAGCTTAGTAGACTCCAAACCTGACTATGGTCTACCTTGACTATGATCAACAACTAGTCCACTAAGAGTAGATTTTATAAATAAAAAATTATCAGTTAAAAAGAAAAATGGAAGTATTAAAAATGTAACTTTAACAAGACAAGCATTTAAAGTTTTTAAATTTATTTATTGCATTTTCTTTAAAATTCTGAAAAATGTAGTTCTTCTATTTAATCGATAACATTTCTTTGAAATTAAACGTTCACGTATGTATTTGTATTTTATATTATTTTCCAAAATTTATAGTATTTTCCAAAATGAATCAACGTATTTTGATGAAACTTGGCATAGATGTAGAAAATAGTGTAAAAGAACACATAGACTGTAAATTAGGTTTTTATTTCATTCCGCATAAATGGATTCGCGGGCGACAGCTAGTCATAATAGTAATATAAATGGGAAAGTTTGGATGGATGTTTGTTACCACGTATCTCGAAATCTGCTTAACGGATCTCTATTAAAATTCAATTTAAAACAGTCTGGAAGAACACATAGCGTACGAAGTATATTTTTAATACCACACGAACAGATACACGGGTTAAACCTAGTCAAATACAAACACTATTAATAACAGATTGTCATACTCTCATCCATACATGAAATTATACTCACCTAGGTCTAATCATACCAGCGAAGTCTAGATTCCCTGCTTGCTGGAACCTATCCACTACAGTTCCTGACATCTTGGTGTCCACGTAGCTGGTGCCCATCAGGTTCATGTTCAAGGGGAGCCCACAACCAGTGGGTACTGAGAACGTCGTGTCGAGGAACAGAGACGCCTTGTTGTACTTTATTTCCTACACAATAAGGTATAAATTCCTTTGATAGAATCAACTATAGCTATCTCGTTCTAATGCTTGTGCAAGACAAGGATGGGTATATAGAATGTAAGCAAACCTTTTTAACATTTCGTTGTTAACAGATAATTTGTGTTTAATTTTTCACTTATCGATATCTAAAGCGATTTTTAGATAAGTTAAGTAATTGATTAATACTTTTTTTTAACTAGGACGCTAAGCAAATAACTTACCTTTCCAGACAATATTTCCAGTACTCTTAGCTTCGGGTTTAACTTTTCTAACGACTTGACAATTTCATCGGGACCTTCAGCACTCCAAAAAGATATTTCATTACCAAACACTTTCAGTCCCAACTCCGCCATCGGGTAACGATGTTTCAATGCGTTATTTTTATAACCTAAGCCATCCACTTTCTCTTTTAACTCATCAGCTTCGTTCGTAGATCTCATTATACGCAGTTTATTAATTTTGCTTGTTACTTCTTCTTTACTCCACGGACCATTCTTACCGAAGAAAGCTTCGAAATATTTTTCAAAACCTTCACCACGGGCTTTGATCTAAAAAAAAGAGTACACTGACAAAATTTTAGAACTGTACTTTAAATGTATCTTCATAGATTAATAAAATAAGGACATCAGTGAGTAACTAAAAAAATGTATTTGGGTTGTTTATAATGAACAAAATATTATGTTTCGAAAGGACAACTTGAACATAAGTCCCGGGTATCGGCTTATTTTAAAATATTATTACATCAACTTTTTGCAGATGCTTTGTCAAATTGCAAGGTGACGATATTCACAATTTGTCGGTGACACATTTTTTTTAAATATCACAATATTTAGTAAACGAGCGTCCAGACTCCTGAAATCGCCGAAAAGACGAAGTGATCGCTGCTCAGACATCCACCTTTATAGACACGTTGCGTTAATCGTCGGAGGAGAGTCACAAAAAGATATTTCCACTTCTTTTGCTTCTCCACTGTCAAAGTGTCACTTTTCTTATAAGAGAAGGGTGGGAAGGAAAAGAGACTAAATTAGGTCTCCAGAATGCAAAGCTTTACAAAAGTACGACATATTTTAAAACTTACCTCTAACAAATTAATAGACTCTCCAAACATGTCCACAGTCAAGTTGAGTGACACAGAACGAGGTATGTACGAATCCGGAGAGAAAACTACATTCGCTTCGTAATTGCCACCTGAAAATATTACATTATTACTTAGAATTTTAGTAACAACGGCAATATGGTTTTGCTGGTATTCTCTTGTGGTTTGCGTCCCTTTCTGTTAGAGGAATTTCTTGTAATATATTTGTTGTGGATTGATAAGGAGGTTTGATCTACAATTAATACATACTGGCTGTAATATACATATAAGTGTTATAAGGATGTCAAAATATCACTTTAGAAAAAATGGGTGTTTAAAAAAGAATCGAAGGAATATTAAAAGACGATGAAATACATATAAATAAAGTATTTTAATGTTTACAACAATATTTATTTCGTAAATTTAATAGCGTGAAAATACAGAGTGTTCAAAGACATTATATCTATTGTACATAGAGACTGCCACAGATTCCCTGGTTGAAAATATGACGATTTCACCTAATTTACCTCCTCTCCTCTCCTCTCCACCTCTTAAGTTTGCTAATTATTGCATCATTCAAATATCTCGAAATGCTTTTAACAGATTTTATTAATAATTTATCCCATTTTATGTAGTAACTATAGAGCCCTCTAGCGTCCAAACGAAATAACTTTGGATAGAGGTAAGTTGGGTCAAATTGTACATTTTCGACCAAGGAATCTGTGATCCATTGTACATGTCTTTAACTGACACCCTGTATATAGCCTAAGAGGTGTCTCTAGTATAATATTTTATTAAAAAATCAATAATATGCTATGATTGTTGACATCCAAAATTTAAGAAATATTTAGACTAGACATAGTAAACATTTTTCCACTGGTAACTACTTTAAAAGGTACTATGTTAGTTGTCAAGTTTGGTGCCAACTCATGTTCTTGTTGACATGATATGAATCTTTTTACAAAATTATAATAAGCTTCATCTCTTGTTATAAAAAAAAAAACAATGTTTTAAAATAAAACTTAAAATCTAAATATGATTTATTGATACGAATTAATGGCTATTGGCAATAGGCAATATGCATATGAGGCCAAATTGTACCAAACTTTTTTTAAGTATACTTTATTACTATAAAAACAGTCCTGCAAAGATTTTTTTAAATATAATGTGATTTAGTGGCATAATTTAATCATTAAAAAGTGTCTTTTTCAAATTCCCTCGCTAAGTTCTAAAACGCACACTATTGGTCGAAGCAAGTGGCTTATCTAATATGGCGTCGCTGTGTTGACAATACACAGTTAATTTACGTTAGTTTATATAGAAAAACATTCTTGAAGTATTTTACTGTAAACACGATATCAAAACCAACTTTAAAATAAAAAAATAATGAATAGGATTATTAATTACCACTTATTTGTACCAGGAATAGTAAAAATGAATCGATTTTAGACTTTTTGACCTTGAGAAACTGTTGTGTTTTACATCGAAGTGACATCTGAGCGTAAGTTATGAATGGAATAGACAATTGACGTCAATCGTCTCATGACAACTCCGGTCGCGTTTTAGTCGCTCGAAAATGGTCGTAATCTTATTTTATTATTTTTAGCTCAATGGTTGAATATTTTCGCGACAATTTTTTTTGTGATTATTGTATAACAAGTAGAATCGTTTAAAAAAAGAAAAAAAATACATGCATATTCCCTATTAGTTTAAATATAATTTTGACACGTTTTGGGGACCTATTAATAGACAGCGTTAGTGGATCATATGAAAAGTGTCAATGCCTCCTCTATATTTTTGTATCTCTTTGTTGACATCCTACATACAAAGTGTGTTTACGTTATATTAGTATAGATATAAACTGGCCTGCGTTATACTGGTCGAAGAAGACGCTCTGTTCGTAGTTGCGGGAGTAGACGCGGAAGTCGGGCGTGTCCGCGAGGCGCGGCACCGCGTGCCCCGACAGCAGGCCCTGGACCTCCACGCGCGACGGCAGCGACGACTGCCCCACGTTCTTCAGGTGGCTCCACACGAACGTCACCGCTGGAATTCATTATATATATCTGTAAATATTTGTAAATAACTTTTGCTCAGAGGGAATGCGTGTACTCCGACAGTTACAAGACTCGAATGCCGATTAATAAAATACGTTCTCCGTGACGGTAATGCTAAAATATAATCGTTGCTGTCCGAAAAGTGGCAGGCGCTCGCAAACAATATCTATACTAATATCGAAGGGTGAAAGGCTATTTGTTTCACCCGCTTTTTTAGGCGATAGAGACTTATACATACATATAAATTAAGAATCAGCGAATTTAAATATGAAATAAATAAAGAAGTATGCAGAATTATAGTTATTTTAATCTAGAACCGGTCTGAAAATCTTTCAATTTAAATTGTTGTTAATTTTTTTTTATGTTTTTTTCTAAAAAAATTAAATGGCTATCTTGAACATTTAACCTAATGGCGCTTAAAACAAATAGCCATCGATATTATAAACTAGCTTAATAATAATAAACTTATTAACCTCTAAAAGCCTGGAATAAAAAAAAATCATTAAGTTTAGAATTTAAATCAAAATATAAGTTAAGTTAACAATTTTTACAATATTATAGGAAGAATATAGGTATAAAAATACAAAAAAAAGTTTCTTTTTAACTAAATACCTTGGTTAACTGGTTCATTCTTGAGTGCGTGCAGTACTCTGCGTATAATGCTGAGGTCGGGGCAGCGCATCACCTGCAGGTAGGACGCGATACGCACCTCGATATCTACCAACTCCTCGCGGAACGTCTCCAAGAAGTATTCTCTGAAAATTGGTACATACACACTCAAGGTCATGTAAAGTCTTTACAAACAAATTACTAGCTTTCGCCCGCGACTCCGTCCGAGTAAGAAAGAAGCAAAAGTAGCCTATGTGTTCTTCCAGACTATCATTTACATAAATGGCAAATTTCATCGAAAACCGTTCAGCCGTTTAGGCTACAAACTCTAACAAACATCCATCTAAACTTTCGCATCTTACTTACTTACTTACTAATATTTGTAAGAAATAAGATTTAAAGTAGTATTACTTCTATACATATAATAAAACTGGAGTGTATGAATGTAATATCCAAAAAAAAAAACCATATTTAGGGAAGTATTTGCCTTGCTGATAACTGAATTGAATTTGAATTCTAGATATAACCTTAACAAAACATACATACGATTCAATAGAATATAAAGAGGAAAGATTTGTATTTTTGTATGTATTGAAATAAGTCAAAATTTATTGAACCGATTTCAAACATTCTTTCATTATTAAAAAGATACACTATCAGTGAGTAACATAGGCGATGTTTATTAATTTGACAAGGACGAAGAGACAACAGCTAGTTTCATATGTAGACTAGTCATACTAATATAAATGCAAAAGTTTAGATGTATGTTTGTTAGAGTTTGTAGCC